ATATTCAACACTTGTTATAAAATAGGCTTTGTGTTAGATGATTTTGCGCAACCATAGGCTAATGAAACTGTTATGAGCACAACTAAGGGCAAGGTTAAACTATGATGTTCAGTAGGTTAAGTATATTAAATGCATTTTCAACTTAGAATATTTTCAACTACAATAGGTTTATTAGAACATCACTCCATCATAAGTAAGGAGTATCTGTACTAACTAAAGTAAAGGAAATGAAAGGCATGCAAATAAGGAAAGGAAATAAAAGGTATACAGATTGAGAAGGCATGTGTTAAGAAATAAATGACGTGAAGCACAAAACTATGTCTGCCACATAATAACTACTAAATAGGAATAAATTGTTATTTCTAAAATAATATGCTGCAAATATCAGTCAGTTTTCCAAAACATCATTCTCTAATTTCAGGAATATATCCCATGAACAAGAAGGGATGCAATAAGGAAACATAGAGGATGCACATCAAATGCAGGCTAGCAAGGGGTGGAGTTGGGGATAGGGAGGGAAGGCTTCCTGAGTATCCCATTGTCACACTTCATGGCTCCATCACTAGGCATGGCTTATGGGCAAGGTTACAAAACAAGACCAGGGAGAACTAAGCTATAGGCCAATATATACAAATGAACCTGAGGAGATGAACAGGTATCTAAACCTCACACCAAAGTGAATGGGGCTGGTATGGAGGTTGTATGGTTGGCATGGGACAGTTAAGGGTCATCTGTGGAGAGTAGACAGCCTCTGAGTTAGTGGGAAGACAAGTGATTCTCATTTGTTTTTTCCACTAGGGACAGTGGAAGAGGTTGTGAAGAGCTGGTTAGCAGGTCAAGATACACATTTAATAATTTAACAGAAAAGAACACAGTTAAGACTGAGGTAAAGATTCATGCAACGTGGTTGTGCTAAATTAATATGGATGAAACACAGATGCCTGAAGAGTGTCAGTTTTCAAGAAACCCTGGTGTGAGGACAGGAAAATCCTGGGTAAATGAATCCAATTGGCAATTCCAAAATTTCATTTTATTCATACTTACATTTATTTTATATTTTGCCTACCCTCTTTAGGCTTGATTTCAGAATCTTGGTCAGAAAGTTAGTTTTATCTCATATACGGTATTATGAATAGTGGGAAGAGCACTGAAAGAGAGCCTAGTTCAGGCTGGAAGGAGTGGAGGCAGTTTGCGATCTACACAAATTACAACACTCCGTCCTTTCCCATTTAGTAGCTGTGTATTCTTGGGGAGATTTCCAAAACACTCTGGGTCTGGGGTTCTTCATCTGTAAAATGAACCTCTTTTTGCAAGGCTTTTGAAAAGATTAGGGATAATATATGTCAAGAACCTAGACAACCTGTCTGCATACAATGAATCTTTAGGAAATGAAAGCCATTACCATTATTAGTGATGATTACAGACACTGCTACCTTCCCTTCTGGATTTTTCAAAAACCACTGAGCAGTTTTGAGGGAATCGTAGGTATTTATGACCTAAGATACCATGGGTCAAATTTGCTATTTAGCAAATCAAACTAAATACTCCAGAGAAGGTAATTTAATTTTGGTGTCAACCAGTTGTTTCCAGCTGTATGCAATTCAATTCTCCTAGTAGTTGTGTAAGGGACAAAATGCTATTATGTTCTGCTCCTTTCTTTTCATTCCCGGTTGTATCTTCAATCAAACCGTCCTAATTGCCACCCATTTTACAGCCACCAAAAACCTAGCTCTTACCAAATTACATTGAAGAAATTTTAATGTCATTATAGTATATTGGAATAGGACTTTCTCAAGCCAGAGAAAAAAGTGCCAGCCAACTGGTTTCTAAAGACCAGCCCAAAAGAGTGTAACATTTATTTTTCAGGAAATCTTTTGAGATAATATAGCTAAAATAATTACTTTGCAAACTGTTTACAAAGGCAGTGGGAAATGGCCTGGAACATCCTCCTTGATTACATCAATAGAAAGTTTCTTTGTCCAGGGTCAATAGTCATGTTGCATTCTAAGCTTTACTCTCTCAACTCTGACCCTTGTTCCCCTTTCCCACAGCCCCAGTGTCCCATGACACAGATGACATAGCTAAACTTAAATTTCAGTATCACTGATGAACTTGCAGTTTCAAAAATGGAATTGACTTAAAAAATTTACACTTAAATGCCATCTTACTATACTCATCTGGACCCCAGTGTCCTTATTTTCTCTTTGTATCTGTCCCTTTGATCTGCTATGACATCTCACAATCTTTCTTGTGAGATTAGTGCTCCTAGAAACAAAAATCCTGACACCAATGGCACAGTGTTTTCCAAATATCAGATGCCCAATTAATGTTAAGGGAATCAATGGATCAATAAGCATAGTATCTAATATTAACATATTAAAATTTAATTTTTCCTAAATTCTTTAATAATATAAATCCAGGTATATACCATTTAATTTTACAGAAAAATCAGCTAAAAATAATAAGAAAGATAGAAATTGACAATATTTTACTTTATTTTTCTCTATTTTCTGATCCCAAAGTTTAATTGCTAAGTCCTCTCACATTTCTAATGAAATACCTGTTCAAATGTCATGTTAGCCTGTTCTGGATCACAAAATAAGAGGGAGATTCCCAATTTGTTTCACAATATATAAATACTCCTACTTTAAAAGTGATACATAGCAATTAATGTGTAAATACAGTGATCCATAAACTAACACTCAGATACTATTTAAACAGTTTATTAAAAGTAACATTGGAAAAATAAGAGCGAGAAAGAGAGGAACAGAGTGAGAGTGAGCAAGACAGCGAGAAGCAAAAGAGTGAGGGAAGAAAGGGGAAGTCATCACATAAACAAGAATACAAAGTTGATATACAGACATGGAGAAGGAGTGACCACCAGGGAGTTGGAATACCATAAGTCATGAGGAGAGCATGTGATAGCCATCAGAGGAGGACACAGTGAGGAGGTGAAGAACTGGCCAGAAGGTCAGGTTCCAGAGTTGGGAGAAGTTCCACACTGGAGTACACACTGGAGAAGTTACAGGGGAAAATTGTTGTAAAGATAGAAAGAACAAGAGCTGGAAAAAATATCAGCTCCTGGGCAGAGTTAGTTCTCAGTGGCACTGAGCTTAGGAGCAGCAGGATCCTAGGAAAATGAAGTCCAAAGACAAATCCCCAGTTTTTATTTATTCACATATTTACCTTCCCTTTGTAGGCCTGCATTTAGTACTTTGGTTACAAGTGTCCATTTATTGCCTGAGACATATTTTGTAGTACTGACAAAAAGTGAATTAAGAGAAAAAAGGTCTACCTCAGGTGGGAGCAGTGGAACAGCATGGCCTCTAAATTCAAACCAGGGCTCCAGTCCCAGCGCTCCTACTTAGCAGTCTTGCGAACTTGAGAAAATTGAAAGATCATCATGCACTATGTGAATTTGTAAAGTCCGTTCTTGTAAGACCTTTGGAATGTATATACTACATATAAACAACAGGCAAGATGCCAGTAAAATATTACCCAATATTTACAGAATGACAATTATTAATATTATTTGGATTCCAGATGATACCTCCCAACATGCTTGGAATTTTCTTTTATTCCAGGAGATGTTAGAGAATATGGAATACTCTTGTATAAAGAGAACTGAACCAGCCAAGAATTCTCCTTAGCAATTAAAACTCTGTAAATTTCCCCATGGGAAAAACTGTTATTTGACTTGGGTATGTAGTTGTCTTCCCTAGTTAGATGTAACTCAAGCTTCTAAAATTGATGTTAAGGCACAATCCTTTTATGCTTCCCAAATGCCTTTCCATAAAAATAATATTTATTTACATTTATAATACCCTTAACAAACAAAATCTATCCCTTGCTTAGAATTTGCCAAATTAAACTCAAGATCACCTAATTAAAATGTCCTTTGAATGCAATTTGAGCTAGCTCTCTAATTTCAAGACAAAAAAAAAAAAAAAATACCAACATAATGGCTTCTATGCATGTAACCTCAAGGGATTATCATCCTTATTTCTCAGAAATTCCTCAGAGAACATGTGCATGGAACACCTAGTCTCCAACCTGTGGACTTCCACACTGGAATCAGAGCACAAGATACCTTGCTTTCCTGCCCAGGTGCAAACCTGGTACTTGTTTACCCCAATCCCAAAGTAATTTGTGGGAGTAGTTTTCCATTAGGCACTGAACATTTGTGCCCCTCCCAATTTATATGCTGAAACCCAACTCCCAGTGTGATAGAGTATGAAGAGGGGGCATTTGAGAGATAATTAGTTTCAGTGGATGTTGATATTGGGGGCCCCATGTTAGGATTAGTATTCCTTTAAGAGGAAGAGAGACTAGAGCAGACGTGCTCTCTTTCTCTGTCTCTTCCATGTGAAAACACAGAGAAAAGGTGAATTTCAAGAATCGAGGAAGGGTACCCTCATCAGAAACAGAATCTGTGGGCACCTTGATCTTGGACTTCTAAGCCTCTAGAACTGTGAGAAATAAATTTCTATTATTTATGTAGGCCATGTAGTCTATGATATTTTGTAACAGCAGCCCAAGAAGACTCCCAGAATTTTGTTTCTCAACTCTGAAGTACACCATCTTGGGGGTTGGCTGACATGTATCATTTTCACAACCTCAGTTAGCCCATGTGATTAAACAAAAATTGCATCCCACTAAGAACTTGCAGTTTTCCAAAACCCCAAACTGACTTGCTCAGGAAATTGTCATTTGACTGCTCTCATAAGGAACACCCTGATCCTCACCCATTCTTTTTACTTTACCTATAAGTCATAGAGGGTAATTAAGCATCTTACTTGAATGATTGCAACACATAAGCACAAAATTTCTATGAGAACGAAATGAGTCTTCTTTTTCTGAGGATCTCCAGTATTAGCACAGAGTTTTCAAAAGAGCAGATTTTCAATTAATGTTCCGTGAATAAAAGAGTCAGTAAACACAAGGTCTAAATTATTAACATTTAATTTCTCTTACTTTCTTGAATAAGCTAACAAAAACAAAGTATAAACCACTTAATGTTACAAAATGAAACACTAAAAGGGAATAGGGAAAACAAGGAATGAAGGAATCTTCATGTTTTAATGTTTTCTCAATTATATTACCCCACTTACTTAATACTTTACTGTGGGGTTCTTTTATATTTCCAAGAAAATGCCTATTGTGATGTCATATTTTCTAATCTGGATTATGAAAAAGACTCAGACATCAATAGGGTCAGCAAGATATACTGTACGCATGGCGCTGCACAGTGCACAAACTTTGAAAGTAGGAGCAGGCTTGGCTACACGTACGGCTTGGGCTCTTGTTTCCTCATCTTTCAAAGCCTCTTCATAAAGGTTTGGGTAGGCACTGGGGGCAGTACCATTGATCTTGGCCAAAAATTCCAGGACTTTCATCTTGGTAGTTTCGGCATGGGCTTTGGGACCCCACAGGAATTCGTAGCGTGCAGGATCACTGTTGCGGATCTGGCGGTACTCCAGGTACTTCAGCCTCACCAAATCCTTAGTGATGAGCTTCCTGGGCTCTCCATAGACGAAGTGCTTCCTGCCAGCATATACTCGCATCATACTTAGGTATTTCCAGATGTCTTCCTCAGTGGCGCAGTTGCCCTTCATGAAGATCATACCTAAGATATTCATCAGGAGACCGGTCTTGGGTAAGCCCCTGCCACCACGCACCCTCCCATTGTTGGGGAGTTTCAGCTTGCTCACGAGGTCATACAACTCACGCGTTGAGTCGACTTCCTTCACATCAACTGCAAAGACCATCTCAAGGTGCTCACAGACTCTCTTGAAGATCTCAGGAAACTGGTCTTTGTACTTCTGGTTGACAATCTTCAGCATGTCTGCCTTCATAATGGGCTGTTTCATTTTGCACTTGTAGAGCAGGAACTGCTCCAACACCTTAGTTTTCCTGGCTATAGGATCTCTGCATACTTTATTCCTGGAGGGTGAGGCCTCAGCATTGCTTTCCTTTGCCTCATCTTGGATATTGGAATCTTCCTCAGATCTAGTGCAAGAAATGACTTCAGAAGTAGTGGTGGTGGGTGGAGCTTCCTGAGGCTCCTGGGAAGTGCTACAGGACTCAGCAACAGGCAGGCTCTTGGTAACACCTTCAGAAACAGATGAGGAGGGAGGGGACTCTTCTGGAGGGGGCTCTTCTTCTGCTGCTGCTGCTTTTGCCTGAGCACCCTCTCTAGCCTTATTCTCACATCGGGCCTGTTGGCGTTTCTCACGAGCATGGAGCTTACTTTTCTGACCCCGAGGCATGATGACTTTGGTTTGGGATAGTAGGAGAAAATGCGAGCAGGGCAGCTGGTGATGCAGGTACCTGAAGGAGGAAAAATGAGATGGTGTGAGCCTCATCATCAGGGAGAGACCATCTTGGCTATAACTAAGCCACCTCTGTAGGTGCCCTAGAGCGCTTCTGTGGGAACCCACCGGGCTTCTGTTCTCCTGGTTAGCCTGTCCCCTGAGAACCCTCTAGAGGAATTATAGTGAGTTTTAGGCTGCATCCTAGCATCGGTGCCTGGGATGTACTGAAGAGGGAGCAAGGGCTACTAATTGGCCCTCTCTTTTGGCATGTGGGAGTCCTCTCAGTTCACAATATTAGCCATCATGTCAACTGTTGGCAGGTCCTGAGTCCCCTCTCTTCTGCTGCTGTAAAGTCTACACCTTACACCAAAGCCAGCACCTCCCTGATATCCCAAAGGAGGACGTGAAGGAGCTTCTCTGCCCACCATCCCTGTCAAGGGGTACATGACTATCAAAGCCCTCGCTGCTATGGACTGCTTGGGTATTCAGTTCTCATGCAGAGAACTCACTTGTTCTCTAGGTAGTGCCTGTTACAACTTCCTTTTGCTGAATGGTGGCTGCAACCTCACACCAAAGATTTCACCTCTTTTAGATTAAATATAAGGAAGTGAAGGAGAGCTTTAGCCTAACACTCCTTCCTTGGTCCTTCTGGTGCTGATGCAAGGGTGGAGCTCAGATTCTTTATTTTCTACTAAATGGTGGATGGTCCCCTAAACCATCCTTTGACCTTTGGCATGGGCCTGGGACTTCTCTCTCTCTGTTAGTATCCTTTGAGACTCGCAAGGAGTATATGAGGACCACCATAACTGCCTATCATCTCCAAAGCCTGATAACAGGTCAAAAGGATTCTGTGGTACCATCACTGTCAGTGTTCCCCTCATGTACTATGGTCTTCACCTTAACTCATGGAAACACCAGTGAAACCTGATACAACAAACCTTAGGTCATACCCTTTATACCAGCGGTCCCAACCTTTTTGGCACTAGGCACTATTTTCATAGAAGACAATTTTTTCTATAGACCAGGGGGGTGAGGGATGGTTTAGGGATGATTCAAGCACATTACATTTATTTTGTAGTTTATTTGTATTGTTATCACATTGCAATATATAATGAAATAATTATACAACTCACCATAGGTTGGGGACCCCTGCCTTGGACAAAATCCCTCATCAACCCTCCCCCATACCAGAGCATGAAATTCATTTGAATCACGCCACCAGTCCACAGGCATTGCAGGTTGTCAGCAGGGTGGAGGTTCCCTCAGTCCTCACACAGAGATTTTACCTTGACTCCTGGCTACACCCAAAATGCTGTCCTTTCTCCGACTTGAGGACCCTTTTCTCCGACCAAGGCCCTCACATTTCTTTTTTTTTTTTTTTTTTCCCTGTCTACCGATGACTCAACATGGAGGCCCTCACATTTCTGAGACCCTCCTTGCAGAAGTCAGACTGACAGCCCTGTCCTGGGGCCTCCCAGGTTGACGGCGGGGGCAGGCTCTGAGCCACCTCACTCTTCTGAGGTCTGTGGTCCCTTCATAAATCATTCAGCGGTCTGCTTTCGATTCCCTAAAGGGCATGGTACTCCCTGCTGCTGAATGGAAAGGCCCTGCCCCAACCAGGCCAAAGCCCTCAACTCCCTGATACCATCAGAGAGGAAAAGAGAACTCATATTCCCCGGACCGGCGTATGTGGGTCCTCGGAAAGCCGCAAACAAATATGGCGGGACTCTGCACCCGGGCTTCCTCAGTCAGACTGTTTGTAGGGTTCGCGTCTCCTCCATGCTGGACGGGGGCCTGCCCACTTTTATCAATCCGACACCCTCCTGACAGCCCAAAGCAAAAGGGAGCGCACACCTCAGTCCGCCTCCTCTGCTCAGGCCTCCCTAACCCAGGACCGTGGTGCGGGGTGTGGGGTGTGGGGTGCGGGGTGCTGGGTGTGGGGCGGCTTTGTGGGTATGGGACCCGGAGAATTTCCCTAAAGGGGCAATTCTCTCCTTCTCACTCAATATTCTCACCTTGACTCCTGTCGGGGTCGGGGACTCCTCACTATCGCTGGCTTGTGGCAGACTCGCACCTCAGGCAAGGTCCTTCTCCATCTTGAGACGCCTCAGAAGGGAGCGAGTGCCACGCGTCTTACCAAGGAAAAGCCCTCTCAAGGCCGACTGCAGGGGCCGCATCTACGGCGCCCCCTCTGTGCCGGAGGGGGTTGTTCCCTCAGCCTCACAGAGGATTTGCAATTGGAATCCGCTTAGAACCTTAGGCTCTTCCTTCACACCTTCACAGCTCTGCAAACTCTTGAGTAGTCTCCCTACTTCAAATCTTGGCTGCAATAGGTCTGGGTCCCCAGAGTGACGTGAGATGGGGAAGCTGAAGAACTAGGAGGAAGGCCTGGGACAGGAGGTGGACGTCACAGAAAACAAACACTAATCTATTCCTTCTCTTCATCATCCAGACTTAATCATTTACATAACTTCTGTTTTGAAAGATATGATTGCTAAAGGAAATGAGCTGAGCTAGATACTTTTGTGAGATCCCAGTCTTTTTAGATTGAACGACAATGCATATGGACACATTTATATTGTTAACAATTGAGTTTGGTAAACCCTGTTAGAGACTGAATGTATCCTTCCAAAATTCGTGTGTTGATATCCTAATCCCAAGGAAGATAGTACCAGGAAGTGGGACCTTTGGGGGATTATTAGGTTTAGATGTAGTCATGAGGGTGGAGTCTGTATGAATTAATGTCCTTATTAGAAGAGACCAGAAACTTTGCTCTCTCCCCCCCCCACACACACACATTAAGATACAGTAAGAAGGCAGCTGACTGCATCACTAGGAACCAAATCCACTGGCACCTTGGTATTGGACTTCCAGGCTCCATAACTTTGAGAAAATAAACTTCAATTGTTAAAGCCACTCTGTGGTGTTTTGTCACGACAGTCTTAAGAAACTAACACATGGCCCTAAATAGAGATTTATTTCTGAAGTTTCCCAAACTAATTCATAAGAACATATTTCAATGTCCTCCTACTTACTTCATTGATGAAAGAGGAATGTCCACACTATTGCTATTTGGTATCCAAACCCACAACGCTGGGCACTGTGCAGATGAGTTATCCAAACCCACAACACTGGGCACTGTGCAGATGAGCAGTGTATTAATGGCATATACTCATATACTCACTCTTTATTTTATTTTAGTTTATTTTTTAATTCAGGATATTATGGGGGTATAAACATTTTGGTTACATGAAATGCATTGTTCAAGCCAGAGCCATAAGTGTGTCCTTCCCCCATACCGTGCACCCTGTCTCCATTGGCTGTGGATTTACCCACCACCCCTGATCTACCCCCCACACCCCCTGCCAACCTAAACTCACACCCAGTGTGTATTACTACCATGTGAGCTCTTTAGTGTTTATCAGTTAGTACCAGTTTGATGGTGAGGATATGTAGTGTAAGTTTTTCCATCCTTGTTATACCTCATTTTGAAGTATGGGCACAATCTCTATCCAGGATCATATAAGAGGTACTAGATCCCCACTGTTTTTTGTAGTTAAGTAGTACTCCGTGATATACATATATAACATTTTAATAATCTATTCATGTATTGATGGGCACTTGGGTTGTTTCCACATCTTTACAATTGTGAATTGTGCTGCTATAAACATTTGAGTGCAGATGTCTTTATTATAGTATATCTTTTTTTTCTATTGTTAGATGCCTAGTATTGGTATTGCTGGATGAAATGGTATTTTTATTTTTAGCTCCTTCAGGTATCTCCGAATTACTTTCTACAGGGGTTGTACTAATTGGCAGTCCCACAGCAGTATAAGAGTGTTCCAGTCTCTCCATATACATGACAGCGTTTGTTATTTTTGGACTTTTTGATAGAGGCTATTCTCACTGGAGTTAGGTGATATCTCATTGTAGTTTAGATTTGTATTTCCCTAATGATAAGAGATGTTGAGCACTTTTGGATGTTTGCTGGCCATTGTTCTGTCTTCTTTTGAAAAGTTTCTGTTCATGTCATTTGCCCATTTATTGATGTGGTTGTTTGATTTTTTTCTTTTTGATTTTCCTAAGTTCTATCTAGATTCTTATTCTCAGCCCTTTATCAGGTGTTTAGAAAGCAAGTATTTTCTCATTTCCTCCCATTCTGTAGGTGTTCTACCCATGCTAAGGACAGTTTCCTTGGCTGTACAGAAGCTTTTTAATTTGATCAGGTCCCATTTGTTTATTTTTGTTTCTGCTATGATTGCTTTCTGGGTCTTCTTAATGAATTCTTTGCCTAGGCTGATGTCTAAAAGAGTCTTTCCTACCTTTCTTCCATAATTCTTAAGGTTTCACACCTTAGGTTTAAGTCTGTTGTCCAATGTGAGTTGATTTTTGTGACAGATATGAGGTGGGGATTCACTTTGAATCTTCTGCATATAGATATGCATTTTTTTCTAGCACCACTTATGGAGTAGAGATTCTTTTCCCCAGTGTATTCTTGTGTGTGCTTTGTTGACAATTAGATGGCGATATGAGGATGATTTTATATCTGGGATCTCCATCTTATTCCAAAAGTCTATATCTGTGGTCTTGTGCCAGTGCAATGCTGTTTGGTTACTATAGCCTTGTAGTAAAAATTGAAGTTTGGCAGACTGATGCCTTCCAATTTGTTCTTTTTGCTTTAGATTGCTTTGACTATACGAGGTCTTCTCTGATTCCATAGGTTTGATAGAATTATTTTTTCCAAAATCTGTAAAGATTAATGACAGAATTTTGATAGCGATTGCATTAATTCTGTACATCACTTTAGGTAGAATGGACATTTTAACAATATTGATTCTACCAATTGTAGGGATTGGTATGGTAGGGATGGTAGGGATTTTCATCGGTATACATTTTCTACAATTTTGTTTCTCAGTGTTTCATAGTTCTCCCTATAAATATCTCTCATCTCCTTCGTTAAATATATTTGTAAATATTTAAATTTATTTGATGCTATTGCAGAAGTTCTTGCATCTTTGATTTCATTTTCAGCTTGTCTGTTTTTGGCATATATGAATGCCACTTATCAGTGTGCATTAATTTTGTATCCTAAGACTTTACTGAATTTGTTTATTAATTATAGGAATCTCTTGGCTGAATCCTTGGGATTTTCTAGGTATAATAGCATAGCATCAACAAAGAGTGAGAGTTTGACCTCTTCTGCCCCCATTCAGAAATCCTTACTGCTCTTCTCTTGTCCAATTGCTCTGGCAAGGTCTTCTAGTACCATGTTGAATAGAAGTGGAGATAGTGGGCAAACTTGTGTGGTTCCAATTCTATGTGGGAATGCTTTCAATTTTTCCCCACTCAGTATGATATTGGCTGTGTGTTTGTCATATATGGCCTTAATAATGTTAAGGAATATCCTGTCTGTGCCTATTTTTTGAGGGTTTTTGTCATTTAAGTGTGCTGGATTTTATCAAATGCTTTTTCTGGGTCTATTGAGAGAATCATATGGTCTTTGTTCTTGATTTTACTTATGTGGTGAAGTATATTCACAAATTTGTATTTGTTGAGCCAGCCTTGCAGCCCTGGGATAAAGCCTACCTGGTCATGGAGAATTATTATTATTATTATTATTTGATGTGCTCTTGGATTTGGTTTGCTAAAATTTTGTTAAGGATTTTTGCATGTATATTCAGTAATTGCTTATCTGGGACACTGTTTATTTCTCCCTCATAGATGAAACTCAGTTTTGCCAGGTATATAATTCAAGGTTGGCCATTGTTCTAGTTAAGAAGATTGAGGATGGGTCTCCAGTCCATTCTGGCTTATAGGGTTTCATTTTAGAAGTCTGAAGTTAGTCTGCTAAGTTTTCCCTTGTATATTATCTATTGTTTTTGTCTTACTGTGTGAAGGATTACCTCTTTCATGTTTACTTTGGCCAGTCTGATAATTATGTGATGTGGTGGTTGCCTCTTCAGGTTGAGTCTTCCAGGAGTTCTGTGAGCTTCTTTTATCTGGATATCTATGTTTCTGGCCAGGCCAGGCATATTTTCCTCCAGTATTCCAAAAAATAGATTTTCCAGTCCTTGTGTATCTTCTTCTGCTCTCTCCAGGATGCCTATAATTATTATATTTGGTTTATGTACATAATCCCACATTTCTTGTATGTGCTTTTCTTGTCTCTTTCCTTTGTGTTATTTTTGTTCATCTGATTTTTTTCACACATACGCATTATCTTCAAGGTCTGAGAGTCTCTCCTTTGTGTGATCCATTCTTTTTTTAAGGCTTTCCACTAAATTTTGAAGTTCCTTGATTGCCTCCTTCATTTCCAGGATTTCTGGGTTTTGTTTTGTTTTGTTTTGTTTGGTAATATTTCCATTTCTTTAGAGAATTTTTCATTCATTTTCTGTATTGTTCTCATGGTTTCTTCATGTTGGGTTTCTTTTTTCTCTTCAATTCCATTGAGTTTCCTTACAATCCATATTTGGAATTCTACGTCTGTTGATTCAATCATTTTATTTAAATTCATATCTGATTTTGAGGGTATCATGATTCCTTTTGGGGGTGACTTTTCTCTCTGCTCTTTCATATTCCCTGTGTTCTTTCTCTGTTTTTTTTCTCATCAGGGTAATTGATTGAGAACTGGGAGTACCAGTACTGGTTTGCACCCTTAACTTCAAGCCCCCAAGGGACATTCCTGAACAGTGGTGGGAGTAGGTGTGCTGGACTTGTATTGCCTTACAGATATTTTGGCAAGTTGTTTCTGTCTTCACTTGTTGCTGTCACTTCTTGCCAGTGGAGATTAGTGAGTGTGTATTGCCCTTGTGTGTATGACTCCACTGCCCTCTAATAGCTTGAGGTGGAGGGCACTGTGTTGAGCTGTAGGGTTACCCTCTCTTTCATTGGCTGTCGATTGCGTGGAGGGTCCAGATATTAAGGTAATCTGATGCCTCTGTGTTGATTTCTGTTCCCCATGTGAGGAATACTAGTGTCCCAATATTTTGGAAGGTTGTTGCCAATCCCAAGAGTTACTTGGACCCTATACCCCACTAAAGTGTTGGTAGGAGCAAGGCAGATCACAGCTGCTGCCTACCAGCCTGGATATATGTGCTTCTATGGT